CTCCTGGGGTGAGACCTGCTGGGTTATCTAAAGGACCTTAAGTGCAGGTTAAGCCTGCCTAGTGACCTGCAATGACCCTGCAGAAACATGCGTCCGTGCATATCTGCACACCTGCATTCAAGTTCAATTCAGTTTATTTTTATATAGCGCCTTTCACAACAGAGTCAGCCCAAGGTGCTTTACATGGGTGTGTTGTGATACATTACAACATCATTAAGAGAGAATGCAAAAACTGGGAAAAGGGAAGGCGAAGAAATGAAAGAAAGAAAGCAAGATGACAACGGAGCAGGCGACTAGGCGTAAGTGTGAGGCTGAGCTTCCAGTGAATGCGCCTGTACAAGCGTGAGTAGGACAGTAACAGTCCGTCGTATTTGCTATGATGAGGAAGGCTAGAGGAAGAAAGAGATTTTGTGATTTTGAGAGAGGGATGAGTATTGGGAGACGATGGACACCAACATCCCAGTCACCAGCTCCCAGGGTAACAGAGAAGTTTCAGGAAAGCAATCAGAGGATAATAAAAGATATTATGGTGCCTCAAATCTATCTCATCTGTCACCTCACCCCAAAAATTAGTAATAAACCAGCCAACTGGATTCCTCCTGGTGTCCTGCAAAACCTGTCCTCCAAGAGCGTTGTCCATTCCTGTGTCGCGTACATAAAGCTGATAAAAGTACTAAGTGTGAAGTGTTGTGGGAGTATTATCCAGCGAGAAGCCTTGCTGTGCCTGGATAATACACTAAAAATCATGCCTTTTCATTAAGAAGTGCAATGGACAGCGATGGGCTTAGCTAATTCAATATGGCAATCTAATCGTGGCTCATTTATATTCCGACAAAGACAGCCTCCTCCAGAGCTCCGTAATAATCTATCGTCCGTCTACAGCGTGATGAAACTCTTACAGATGTGTGAGTAACCAGTAACGAGGGATCTAAGGAGTATGCGGACGCTGAAAGCTATTTACAGTGATACCTCATCATATCCCAGTAAAGTGAGATTTCTACTTTTAATGATAAATCAATATGGTGATTAGGTGGGTCTGTCTGGGAGAGATATTTTAAGACACGGGTGTCTTAAGAACTTCGATAGCTGATAGTTTTTTAATACGTGTGTCCATCCGTCTTCAAACTTGTCACCCAGTAGAGGATCGAACCTGGAGATCGAACCTGGAGCACAGGGCACAAGGCTGGGGTTCACGATTGACACACGTGCATGGAGAAAGAGTGGTGTTGAGATGGTTATTTAATCGTTTCAGGACTGTGGGAGGAAAATGAAGTTAATAGAGGAAACCCACAAAATGGGGAGATCTTGCAAACTCCATGCACACACACACACACACACACAGAGCAGGGGTTGGATGCAAAGATGACGGCACTAACCAGTGAAACATCAAACAACCGCAACCCCTTATTATTATGGAATTGTTCTTTAAAATATTGCAGTGTGTATCACTGCTGAATATCGTGGAATGCACGATTTTCACTCCCACGCAGAAGCTTGGTTTTATGAATTCATAGGAAATTGGGTGGCCACAGTTGTTAATGCATATTTAAAAGCACTGGCTATTTTATAATTAACGTGTTTCTACATTTTACTAAGGGGGATTTTCTTTGAATGACTCCCTGTCGCGTTCGATCGTGGAATCCACATAGACGAGGCTGCCAAATTCTGCGTCTGAACAAAATTCTAAGCAACAAAGAGAAAAAACAGCAACTCAGATGAAGTTCTGGACTCCAGTGGCGAGTGGTTTTGTTTAGTGACATCCTTCGTTGCTCATTTGTCTACTTGAAGTCCAATAATCCAGGGGCACCACTGTTGTTACAGCCTTTAATAAGGGGGAGGTTAAGGCTCGGTCAGAGTGACGAACCTCTTCTTTTGTAGTCCATGTGACAAAGAGCTGCTTTCTGAGTGGCCGCTTCTGTTTCCTCTAAAAATGCCTGATAACGGATTGATTACAGAACAGACAGACGAAGCCTTACTTAACCAGGCCTTTTAAAGAAACACAATGAAGTCCTCTCCTCGGCCGACGGACGCCGCTCTGCCCCTACTGCTTCACTAATGCTTCCATTGTCCTTCCATGACAAGCTGGGCAGGTGATATTTAAGTGAATGGCAAATAAAGTGTGCACTGAATAGGCTCCATTAAACGGCGAGTCGATAGGGGCTGAGACGTCCCCGGTGCCCCGGCGTCGATAGAAGCCCCTCCCACCCAGGAGGCCTAAGGGCTAATCTCTAAGCCAGCAACAGGTTTCGCTCAATGAATCCCTGATTTGATGAGCGAGAAAGAAAAACATTGCAGAAGGGAAGAAGCGTCCGAGCGGAGATCCAGCTCCTTAACCCTTTTGCGTCCACTTGATTATACTGAAGCTGCTCAGTGGCTCATCTGATGAAGGAGCAGTTCTGGTGGCACTTGAGGGCCATGAGACGGACCATTTTGAGCGATGTTGTTATCCCTGCGTCGTACCAAGGAGGATAGGGAGCCATCAGGGAGGTTTTTCAAGGCCTGGTGTGGATGGCGAAGATAATGACGAGTATAAAAATAACTCATCACAAGGCTGCCTATAATAAGAGGACACATGCGTCTCTGGTCGTAGATGTGAGGGATAGATAGACATTTCACTGCATTATTGTCTTTCTCCTCAATAAATAGTAGGTGAGTCAGAGAAATCTTGGCCCTGGCCTTTTTAGTAGGGGTGTAACGGCACAGAAAATTCATGGTTCTGTGCGAACCTCAGTTTTGGGGTCATGATTTGGTGCAATTTCAGAAAGCAGAATCAGACTTCAAAGTCACGCATTATTAAAACTGCAAACACAATTAGGAACGATTGTAAACCAAGGCAATGCGTCTGGTGACGTGTCTGAATAACAAGATCTACAAAACCCCGCACATTGTAAAAACACATTGTGAAAACAAATATGTACAACAAATAATGAACTAAATCACATGTAAAACCTGTGTGCTCCACTGCCAAGTGTGGTCACATGTCGGTAGCGATAAACGTCCTTATAGCCTGTAGTTATTTCTTTTTTTTGGCCTGATCTGAATTTCCTGGCTAAAGAGCCTTAAATGCCACAGCAAGACTAACATGCAGAGGCTGTTTCTGCCTCGCTGCCTCGCTCCGGTCGTACACATGCTCGGATGATGCCGTCTCAAATAAGTTAGCATGTTGAATGTGTTTCCAGCAATATACCCGAGTCTCGGTATAACAGGGCCGACAGTCAGTCTTGATCTTATCAGCTACTCTCTCTCCGGTATTGGGGTAATTTATTGGGAAACCAAAATGTTCCCGAACGGCGAATTACGACTGACTGTAACCAGCATTAGCTGTAACCAACTGCCATTCCCAATTAGCATAATGTTCTGCTCGTGTCAAGAAACATATTTATTCATGTCGTTGTGTGTTCCAAACCAAACATGATGTAACAAAATGGTACTCAACAAATATGTGCGTTGCAGCCTTACTTTTTAGGTTTGAAATTGCCGCACGGAATAGTGTGTTGTTGTACAGCTGGGGCGTGTTCCGGTAGTAGGAGTTTTACTCACACAAAAATGTTCTGAGGGCAGAACAAAAAAATGATTGGTTTAGAGAGATAACCAATCAGATTGTAGAGGAGGTGGGTCCAAGGAACTAGAGGAGGAAACGGGACCAATACATCTGATTGGTTGGGCCTGCCTTCTGTAGTAGCTCGGACCTACCTTCTCTACAACCTGATTGATTATTTCTCTGAACCAATCATTTTTCCTTCTGCCGTCAGAACATTTTCATATAAGTAAAGCTCCAATGAGCAGGTGTTCCACAAAACAGGATTTCTCAGTTAACTGGATTAACTTAAGCTAGAAATCCATTATTGTCTGATAGGAATGCTCCTTACTTAAACTCTTATTGGACAATCATGACTTATAGCCATAGTTAACGCAACTAACTGTGAAATCGTGGTTTGTGGAACACCCCCCTGTACTTTGGTATTAAAAAAAATGTGCCGGCCTGCTCCGGTGGTACTGGTGCCACACTAAGTGCTGCACGGATGGGTAGCTTATGGTTGATGTGTCAGAATTACTCTGCTCTGGTTTGACTAACAGCATCATGTGACCTAAGGATGACGTGCGGAGTGCTCTGTCTGAGACAGGGTTTCCCTATCCAAGTTTACAGGGACTAGGCGGACTGGGGATCAGCCTGACGCTGGGGAAACCACAGAAGGAAAAAGAAAGACAAGTCGAAATAAAAATTTGTATGTCAAGGAAAATGCACAGGATCAGGATTGGGGGAGTTACTGCCGATGAGACAGATCAGAACAATCAAGTTATCCTGGTAGAAATGATAGAGGGAGAGGTGGAGTGAATTTGTGGAATTTGTGTCGGATTTCTGACTTCGCATGGTTCCTATTTGGTATTTCAATTCACCCCCAGTGCTCTGCAGTGCTGGATTACAGTGTACGATAAATCACATTATACATACAATACCACATCTGTTTCTCTTTTACTCGGCACTTTCATGGAGGCAGTTCCCTGAGCTGTGAATTCAATTCCACTGTGTGTGTCATGCTTCCTTCACTTGGTTTTACTTCTGTAAATCACATCTTTTATATAAAAAAGAAAAGCTACTACTTTAAACATAAACACAAAAACCTACTCAAAAATCTGTGAAATGTGTTGGTAATCAGCCATAGCATCCATCTTTCGGAGAAAGAAAATAAGAAAATCTGTTGCCTTTAATGTTATTAACTGCAGTGGGCAACCATGAAAATAGTGCTGTATATCATATACGTGACTGAAATTGTTTAGTTTTATGGACATTGTACAGTTTCAGTACAGAATTACTATCATATGATGTGATCATTGACCACTAACTCCTGCATTAGTTACCCAGTAGAAAATGACTGACTTCATTGATTAGTATCAGTTTTCTGAAAGGAAAATGGAGTGTGAATTTTGTGATTGTTTCACCACGTTAGAATCCACCAGCACTACTTAACGAGAGCTGACTCAGTTTACTTTCCTTACAGACAATGAGTGGACGCTTCTTCCCCCATGATGCCATTGTGACCGATGCCGTCCTCAGTCTGGATGAAGACTCTGTACTCTCTACCAATGAGGTAGGGTTTAGGCAATGACCAATCGTACAGAATTTTCAAGAATTATTATTCATAACATCATTAATTGAAATCATGATTGCAGCTGTACATTATATAATATCTTTTTTTTTCAGTAAATAGTATCTTTTATTTTAGACCATGTTTGTTGCATCTGGACAATATTCTTATTAATACTTATGTGTCCATTTTTGGTGTTTTATGTTTTAGTGCATATGGTCAGTTCAGCAGATTTGTTTTTCTGAATTTTATGGTAATGTTTCTATTTCTCTGATATTAACATCCAAACAATACCAGCAAATAAAACCAATCTATTACGGTACGGAACTAGACATTTAACCTGATAATTTTTAAAAAGCTTACTTAAATAGCATACTTACCTAAATAGCTTACTTAAATTGCATGCTTACTTACTTAAACAGCTTACTTAAATAGCATACTTACTTACTTAAATAGCTGACTTAAATAGAATGCTTACTTACTTGCTTAAGTAGCTGCTTTGCCCAAATATTGGTCCTTATTGGTACCCTAATTGTTAATATCTAACTTCTGCTGCTGAAGGCAAATTTGAAAGCTAATCCTTTTCTTAACAGTCTCGTGGATTTATAATCGCTTTGTGTATAATGAAATGTGTTGCCAACATTAAAATTATACTAAATTTTCTTTAACCTGGAAATCAGTTGCAAAGAAATACTTAAACAAAAACTATAATACTAGTTTTTCCCATATTCTGTAAAGACATGACTTGCTAGTCATGAACATATATTGTAGCATGGATTTATTGAAAGATGAATACAGGTTTTACATACTACCATTGTTTATTACATTATTCAGCTATTTAGAATTCTCTTCAAAAAATGTAAATATATTTTATTCAATGAAGCCCCAGGGCTCCCATAAGAGTGAGATTTTGCTTTGTTTAAAATCCCTTTTAACACCAGTTACTAAACCATTGGCAGGTAATTCTGCAGACCATTTCAAAATCCCCCAGTGCCTTCCTAATGTGCATGTAGTCAATGAACAAATCTACTCTCTCTGTGAAATGCTAATTTTGGGATACGGTGCCAAGTCTAAAAACCTGCATTTTCCATCTGGCATGAAAAGAGTATGTAATGAAAGCCCAAGTTGTTTCAGGCAATTAAATTGTTTGCAAAGTGCATTACCTCACATGCACGCTAGTCTCTCTCAACAATGATCACTATTGTGTCAAATCAAGCATTGGGTGGATTCATTTTGATTTTTCAAAAGAAAATTACACCTCATTCCACAATTTTTCAGTCTGCTAAAAGCTGTAGCATGTAACAGAATCAAAGGACACATTTTGTATGAAATAGAAATCAGATGCAAGCGTGACATTCTCAAAGTATTGGTTAATTTCATTTGACACATGGTTTCATGTTGACTTTTGTTTGTTTACATTGAGCTAAAATTAAGAGTATCGCGGAGCAATGGGGTTAAATAGCAGCTTATGATTCTGTACAGCAGATTTATAATAAACAGATGACCATTTGTGAACGTACTAGTTCCTGACATTGAATAAACACATTCGTGATGGACACATTCCATCTCTTATAACCATTTACCCAGTACAGCAGTGTTTCCCAGCCCATTCTTCAGGGACCTGCAGACAATTCACATTTTTGCTCCCTCCCTGCTCCCAGTAGGGTTATTTATTTATTTTGGAGGGGGGGGTGGCTAAATTCCAGCTACATTACACACGTTATATAGTGTGCATGTGAGTTGTGACAATACATTTTGCCCTGTGGACTGCCGGTTCAAAGCCCTTCATATATCAGGTTAAAATGGACCTAATACCTACCCCAGGAGGAACAGGGCTGTAGGCAGGAGACGCCCTGGGCAGGATCCCTGTACTTCAGAGCTGATTACCATGATATTTTATAGCTAAATGTACAAGTCTGTGGCTAAATGTACCAGCAATAGGCATATCCTCCATAGCCCCTAAAAACAATTCAACCCTTCTAACATGTCATTCCACATGAATTAGACAGTAGCGGAGACAACTTGAACCTTTGCACCAAAACCAAAATGGGGCATGAAACAGTGATTACAGCTTATCTGAGAGGAGAACCCTGCCAGTCACTCAATCCTGAAGCTTTCCGAAATGACCATACCGAAAGGCTTTTAATAAGTGAAGCGTAAATCTATTATGTATTGAGAGTTCTGTCATGTCAGAAACCTGTAATGTATAATTAATCAATTCATTTTTTTATTGCATCCAGTCCAACTTTGCCCACCAAGCACGGTCCTGGTGACTTTCAGAGATGTACAAAATTGCTTACTGTAACTTTAAAAAAAGGCTCAGATCTAGAATCAGTTACTGAAAATCCCCCCATCTGTTTAATAATCTACCTCAGTAATTGCCCTTCAAGCAAAGGAGGAATTTTAATTAAAAAGAATAAAAAGTGCAGAATCCCGTGCCTTTAACAAGACCACTCCTGTATTGCCGTAACTATTTGGAAGAGCTTTTGAATATAATTAATAATTGCATTGTTTCAGTTCATTAATTGCGTTATTATGATGAGGGGGTGTGGATTTTTTATGTTAATTAGCTACATTCTGCGCGGACTCACATGTGTGTTAATTTAGTGAAAATGTCAAACAGCTCGATTTGTGAGGTGGGGAATTTTATGCGTTGTTCTAAACCTGAGAATCAGCTTGTTCACCGATGAAGCCTCACTCAGCCGATTTGACCCGGTGACGTAATTATTCATGCCATTTTTATTCGGGTACTGTAATTGCTGAGAAGTCAGGAACAAAGCAAACTACTTGTGCTGAAAGGGCAACTTTTGTGCTGATTTACAGAGCTGTTACAGCATCTCGCTGTGCGCCTCTTGACAGAGGTGTCACTATTTCTTTGTGCTTGTTTGTTTCGTGCCTGTTTAGATTCCTTCCCATTGAAATAAGGAGCCCCGGTTTCATTTGCTTTAGCTGAAGTTGCCGACAGAGTTTTTAGGTTGATGACATTCCTCTTGCCACGTGTAATTTATCTCGGTTCTGCAATTCAAACACATAATTAATCAGGGCGCATTGTTAATGGGGAAAATAGCAGTTTGTCATGAATGATGTAGGGTAACAATCAGTGTATTACGAGTGGGCCTATTCATTTGCATGATATCATACATTGTGTGCGGAGTTAATGGCCGACAGAGAGCTTTGAGTAACCCTGCTCACAGCCCGGCCCTTTGCATGAGATTAGTGCCTCATTTTTCGGTCTTTCATGCACATGCATCGTGGCAGAATCTGTGAAAAATTGGATTATTTTTCAGGGATTTCTGCTTCTGGGGGCCTTTAGAAAAAGCTGCTCTATTGATTGCAGGAGTGTGTCGGTCCGGGTAGTCCTGTCCTGCCTGTTAAGCTATAATACACAGCAGTGCTGTAGTACTGATGACAAACACTAGTGTTTTCACTCAAATTCCAGGGGAAGTCATTGTCTGCTGGTATGTTGAGTAGAGTGGTAAATTAATGGGGCAAGTCTCTGGCCATTTCTGTGTCTAAGAAAAACTAATGACGAACGTAAAGTTATTTTGCTAAAATGACATAATTTCCATGAATCCATTTACCCATCCATCCATCCATCCAACTATTAATCCATGTTCTAACTCCTCATCGTGGTCACGGTCACAGGGGATCCTGGAACCAGTCCCAAGCTGGCTGACTGGAAAACACCCGGGACAGGATGCCAGTCCATTGCAGTGCATACACACGCATACAGTTATACCATAGGGGCAATTCAGAGACACCAGTTAGCCTGCCTGTTACACTGCATATGTTTGACTGTGGAAACCAGCTTGACACAGGAAGAGATACATTTAATACACAAATAAAAGAACAAACTTGGCAATAACAGAACAAGCCATCAGCTTTCCTTTAGTAAAGATAAATATCTGTTAGATAAGCAATTTGTTGTATGTACATCTTCCAAAAGACTGTTTATTCAGAGCATTACATTACATAAAACTGCCTTTCAGACTTATAATGGAATCCAGAATGTACCAGACAGATGAGTAAACCACCATTTTGGTGAATTTCAAACGTTTGGCACATTTGAATTGAATTTCATTGCATTATTTAAACCGAAGCTGCCTGGTTTGTGTTCAGGTGGACTTTGCCTTCATCGTGTGGCGCAGCTTTCCGGATCGGATCGTGGGGTACCCCGCGCGCAGTCATTACTGGGACAGCAGCAAGACCCGCTGGGGATACACCTCCAAGTGGACCAACGAGTACTCCATGGTTCTGACGGGAGCGGCGTTTTACCACAGGCAAGTCGCCGCTCATGCTGGGACAGCAGCACTGTGCTGTCCGTGTGGAATTAGGAGCATGTCCAAGCAGCAAGTCACGCAGTTTATTCAGAGATGATCGAGAGCCATCGGTTCCTATTAACCTCTTTTTCTTATAGTTGCAGAACTATGAGCTTCTGTTTAGCCAATTAAATCATTCTAGATGCGATTATTTTTTTTGAGATTTTGCTCAGCTAATGTCTTCCGCATTGACCAGCCTTGTCTTGGAGGGTTGCCAGATGATGTCATTAAAATTCTGTGACAGAATACCTATGAGTGAACTCACCTGTTACTCTCCGTCCTTGCCATAATCATCTATATGAGTGTCACCAACGGTTGGATGCATTTTTATTTTATTTTATTTTCTGGTTCATCTTCTTCTTAAGAAGTTTACGTGTGTGTTTGCCGTTTTTTTTTTTTCAGAAGCATTAAGCTTTTCAAGAAATTTTACAAGGTTTCTCCCTCGAGTGATTGGAATTTGCATCATTCCTGGCGAAAGCTGATAAACCCTTATTCTTCAGCTGCCATTTCTCTATTTGTTGTATCCGTTTCAAAAATGCATCCGTTACTTTGGGGTCTCGGTCGTCGTAGGCCCCCGAAGGACCAGAATCTAGTTTCCAGTTATGGACAAATTTGAATTATTTCATTGAATTGCATCACAGGACGTGTAACATCGCCTGGGATCCTAAGCAAAAATCAGCTGTCTGTTTAGTGGTATCTTCAAAAGCAAATATGTGTTTCCAGACTTTGAAGAGTGAAACTTCAACCATTATAAAGCTTTTCCACTGCAGTGCCCAAATCCTGCAGGCTAGCTAATTCACTCGTACTTTTTCCGTTTGTCATGTAACATGAGTTTCACTTAGCATGAAAATGTCAGGAGTTTTGGCTATAGAAAATGTAGCGAGCATTTAAGGGGGGTACACATTTTTCCTGGAGATATACTTAAAAAGTTTAAGTGTTCTGAAATAGATCCTTTTGATACATTTTATAAAAGCTTAATACAAATTTTTCTGCCACAAATCGTGTCACATTTTCTGAATTAATGTTTTGGGCTGAATAGTCTAAATAGGCTGATGCTGAAAATATTCTGGCTTTTATAGAGGTAAAAACATCACTAATCTTGGGTAACTGCAAGTCTTGTTTCATAGTCTGAGAGCTGGCAGACTCTGGGGAATCCTTGATCTGGAGATCTGGAGATGAATCTTTTTCATTTACAGATGAGAGTCTCGCAGTTTGAATTTGATGCCTGATGAGGTAATTTTTTTTTTTTCTGAGGGATATTCCGGGATTCCTGCCAGGGGGCGGGGAGCCGAGGCCAGCCTCAGCTTAAGGCCTCAGCTGCCATTGAAACACTGAAGCCCTCTGGCACGTCCTGATTTCACCGAGTTCGACGTGTCCCTGGCTCAGCAAGGGAGGGGCTTGCATTTCATCTCTTTAACCAATCAGCATCTTCATTGTATCTATTGTATTCTGCATGCTGCATGGACATGTGACGGATAAACAGAGAAAACATAGGAATGTGCTTACCTGCAAAGACTGTACAGAGCAATGTAAGGGTGCGTCTGTATTTCATGATGATAATAGTAGTAATAATAATAATAACATTAACAAGGCTTGAACCTGCAACCTTGTGGTCACAGTCACTGAGGTGTAGCTTACTGAGCCACACAATGTCCCAGGTTGTGTGACTGGAAGTTTGATTTAAAAAAAAAAAACAGACTAATGTGGTGATGTCATACAATAAGGACTGTGATTGGTTAAAGAAGTGAAACACAAGCCCCTCCCTTGTTGACCCAGGGACACGTAGAACTCGGCAAAATCAGGATGGGCAAGTGCTGTGAGGTAGCAGGAAAGTGAGGGAAGGAGGTGATCGAACATCTCAGCAATTGTTATATCTTTGGTGGCTAATGCTACAATGGGAGTGGCTGTGCAGGGGACTGCAAACGGCGAAAATGTGTCCATATGTCCAGAAAATATTTGTTCATAAAGGACAATGCAGGGTTACACCCTGGGAGGGATTCCAGTCAATCACAGGCCTCTTAACCACAAACACACTTTCATTAACATAATCACACACTGTGGTATAATTTAGGCTCATCAAATCACCCCGACAGCCTTTATTATACATTGTGTGGGGAGACTGAAAAACCAGGAGCAAGTTTACACAAACACTGCAGACCAGTGTTTTCCAACCCAGTCCTTAGGGACCTGCAGATACTCCACATTTTTGCTTCCTTCCTACCTGGGAGCTGGGAGGAAGCAAAAACGTGGACCGACTGTGGGTCCCCGAAGACCGGGCTGGGAAACACCACTGCAGCTGATGCTAACTTTGGAACGGAGAGGACTGGAACCACGCTCAGATCTGTAGCTCAGAAGCTGAAAGGCAGCAACCCAGCCCATTGAGTCGTCATGGCACGTCGTAAGACAGGGAATCCTGAGAAACACCAGCTATTTCACAGACACGATGGCGTACCTGCGGCGGCGCTACAGTTTAAACAGCTATCAGTGCTATTCAAACAAGCCGTTATTTCTTAGCTGGAGAATCAAAACTGGGTTGGTTACACACATGCTGCCTATTGTACCTTAGTGTCAGGCTTCTGTTAAGGTGTTTTACTGTCTTTTTCTGCCTGCAGCAAACCTGTGTGCTGTTAAAATGATCTGTCTTTATGTTTCAGCATAACAACACAATATTTATTAAGCAGATGTGTATCCATTTTTATGAATTAGCTATTAAGCTATGTTTATCCGATTTAGATTATACTGGATTCGTCTATCAAAAAATTTCATATATATAATAATAGATACCCTTTATTGATCCCTGTGGAGAGATTGGTTTTACACCTCCCCTAACTTGCTCTCTATAGATAATAGTAAATCGACCATAAAGGGCAGCCACCCATTGAGCTGGAGGGGGTTGAGAGTCTTGCTCAAGGAGCCACAGATGTACCAAGGCTGGATTTGAACCTGCAACCTTCCAATCAGTAGTACAGATGCTTAGCCCACTAAGCCATATGCTGCCCCTTGTGGTGGCTGCCCCCTTACGGAGGGAAAAGTTATTCAGCTGACAAACGCTTGCGTGGGGTTTGACCACAGTCACGTGCAAAGTGATGTTTATCAAGATTTTATTGGGAAACATACAATTAGTGATGAGGATGATTAGCATTAGCACTGCATGCATTACCTGGTCACACACAAAAAAGATCTTGTGTTTTACTCAACAAACAAATGAGATATGGAGTGTTGGATCATTTATTTTGTATTTATCAACATTTCTTGTCAAAGATACTAACAGATGTCGTAGGAACTGACATGGAGATCCTATCAAGCAAATGCTTCTCTGTGCTAGCCCACCTTGTTGCTACCGATCTGGATTTGCAGTCTGGCTCGCTTAAGCAGGGATATCCGTGCGGGTCGCCGGCTGGCTCTTGGTTCCGAAGGGGCCGCTTTCATCCCTGCACTCAGATGCGGGGCAAGACAAATTGCTCCGATGGCGGACTCTCACCAGCATGCCCCGGGGCGAGCGACAGTGATTTACCGCACGGCATCCCGACAAGCCGCTGATGCTGCAGGGGCCGCAACCTCCGGTACGAGGAGCCGGGAAGATAAGCTCTCTACTCGCAGATCGGAGAGGCGCGCCTCATCCCTCACTGCGGCGGCAGGCCGCGGCTTCCGTCAGACGTCCAGGCATGACTTAATACACAAGGAGGAAATGAGACGAGCGCCTCTGAGAATCTGAGTGACAGTCAAGGCTGCCGGCAGAGAGGGGAGTATTTCAGTCTGAGAGATTAAAACATCCGTCTCCCCCAGCACAGTGCGGTGGAGACACCCCTTGCCATGTTTAACTCTTCTTCTGCGGTGAAGAAGTAGGGAAAGACTGTACTATTAACTCCCTGCTATCGACCGTCAGCAGCAGATTTGTCACAGATATTACTGCCATTATCTAATCACTTACCTGTTACTTTCAGCCAGAGGAAGTGAGCGCCGTGTGAGGCTCGGTGGGTTAGCACTGTGATCGGAAGGTCATCGGTTCACATCCCATGGCCAGAGAATGATGTCACCATTGGGCCATTTGAGCAAGGGTCATAACCCCAATTATTCCAGGGCTATGCTGGACGACCCTATGTTCTGACCTGAAAACTTGCTCTCACCTGTATATATGTCTGTGTGTCATAGACAGCCAGATAGGAGATGCCCAGTTGTGCCATGAGAGTAAATATAGCATCTGTATTCTGTTATGGATTTATGTTTTTTTAGTGGATGTTTGAGTGGAGATCTTTCATTAGGGATTATGGTCTCGGATACTATTGCAAAATGGATCATACGCTACTCCTGGTTAAGAGACGTGGTGCCACCATGCTTTCAGGTCTCTCACGTGCCTTGCTCATGTGTCGCCCCCTACAGGTATTACCACTACCTGTTCACTCATTACCTGCCAGCAGGCCTTCTGAACATGGTGGACCGCATGGCCAACTGTGAGGACATCCTGATGAACTTCCTGGTGTCCGCGGTCACCAAGCTGCCTCCTCTCAAGGTCACTCAGAAGAAGCAATATAAGGAGACCATGATGCAGCAGGTGAGGGCTGGCCGCCGACCCCCGCACCAGCATTGAAGTAACACAGAACTTCATAATAGGCACAGCACATGTTTAGGAAGAGGGAGATTAAAACAAGCTGAGCTCATAGTCATGTGATCTGAAGTCACGTGACAGCAGCTATTCTCTCAGCAGCCATATTTGACATGGAAATATGAACAACTGAAAAATTGCCCCAATATTCGGCACAACAGTTGTGTTCAATGAAAGAGATAATAAATATTTCAAGACTAAACATTTGCCTGGAGAGTCAGTGACCTCACCATGAACATAATGGTAGTCAAATAAAATGCACCTGGATGGCTTGAGCCAATTCCTCCCCCCTCCCCCGAAATTCACATAATCATGTTTGATGGGTCCATCAAAACATACACAAGGCTGTACATCTCTGTGGCAGCTGCAATTAATCATTCTAAAAAAAAAATATGATTTGCCCTTTTCCCATGTGACAAGGCAGCATTTTCTTGTAGAGTTTGGCGCTTTTATCTCAAGTCCATTTCCATGACCGCTGCTGCTGGAGCGTTACCTTATCTTGTGTCATCAAATAAATGTATCCAGCAGCGAGAGCAGCAGCGAGATGTAGGGAGATCTTGTCCCAGGTAGGTGGAGCAGTTGTACAGCTGTCTGCGGTCAGTGGTACTGCCTCACTGTGCGACTCCCCCCTAGAGACACTGAATTTGGCGTGTAGAGCGGACATCAGCAGGGGGCGCCGCAATGCACGGGCTTTCCCAGCCCAAAGCACAGGGGTCTCTGTGAAAAAGGGGCCCTAACCAAACTTGGGGGGGGTCCTTTGAGGGGAGTTCCAGCTCGTAAATTGTCGGGGGGGGGGACAACTGACAATTCAAATAGTCCAGGGGCCTCTGAAATGTTGATGTGCCTCTGGATGTCAACTCTGTCATCTGTCGTGTACATGATGTAGTGTTGTAGTCAAGACCACCTAAACCGAGACCAAGACAAGACCGAGACCACAAAAAATTGGTCTCAAGACCGGTCTCGAGACCAAGTTCTCGAGAACTACAGCACTAAAATGATGCCATCATAGCACATGGCTTTGGGGCACACGTGGCCCGACCCAAAGACATAGCCCAGAGACACCAGAGGAGTGTAAATGGTAGCAAGGGGTATATGGGATAGGTGCAGGGGGGGACACCGGGGCATGCAGGGGTGTGGGCGGCCTCTCGGGGCCACGGCCATCCCGATGGTGGCAGCCCTCCCCACGTCGGCCCTGATTGATGACTGCGCCTCAGGCACAGCGATGACTCAGCGCTCAGCCCAGTGATTAATGTTTTAATTGGCGGAGCGACTGGCCGGCTGTGAATTTACTTCCACCAGCCTACGCGCTGCGACTTGAAGCCATTTCCTGTTCCAGTTTTTCTGCCTTAGTCCAGCATGGATCCAGCATAATATGCAAACCTTTACGCATCCCATACAGAGGCAGGGGAGGCCTTAAAGCCAGAGATTACTTTCTTAGTGGCTTCATTTCTGTCACCGTACATCAGCATTGACCTACAAACCTGCACTGAACTACAGGGTCAGTTGTGACCCATTGAAAGTCATCGTCTGCTTTTCATAAAAAACTTTATTCTTCTTCTAACATCTGTATTGTTCAATATACGTCAAGGCAGCCACAAACTTGGACTATAGATGATCCTGGTTATAGTTCCTGTAGACACATTATTCATGTATTTTGGCAAATTTTTATACCTAATTAATGTAGATTCTGGCAGTCCCCAGATTCCCGGCAATCCATTACTAAGCCAGTGACCTTGAGAAATCAGAATGTGTGACCTCCAGGAACATGGCTGCCTCATAGCGTTGGTGTCATCTCCGTTCTCCACAGGGGTCCAAGGTGTCCCGCTGGGCAGACCCGGACCACTTCGCCCAGCGACAGGCCTGCATGAACTCTTTCACCAGCTGGTTCGGGTTCATGCCGCTCACACACTCTCAGATGCGGCTGGACCCCGTGCTCTTCAAGGACCAGGTGTCCATCCTGCGGAAAAAGTACCGAGACATTGAGCGCCTTTGAAGCACCGCTGGGGTGGAACCCTGAGCTTTTTTTAAAGACTGACGTCTCATCCAGTTGCTTGAACTCAACCTGTGACTTGATCTCTGAAGAGTATTTTATTATAAAATATGCAACAGTGGGCCATTTTGTATCTAATATGGTCCATTTATCCATGATCATCTAGAATCTGTCATCTAACTCTCAGTATCAGTGAGTTGGAATCTACTGTCGTTGCTGTTGTTGTTGATGATGATGATGATGATGATGATACTGAAATTTATGGCTCCGTCTCACGGACTTCAGCGCCAAGCAGACTGGCTCAGAACGAGGACCAGCTCAGAGGTCACTGAGCGACGTTGCTTAAGTTTTCAGCATATACAGACCCCACCAATAGGGATCAGATGTCCCAGAAATGCAATGGATGTTTTCATGTCACCTGGAAAGATTTTAACTCTAGCACTGTATTTGTCGCTCTCCATTGTTTATTTCCAGGGCTTTCAAATTTAAGAGTTTATTTTTGTTCGCTGTACCTCACACATAAGCTTTAAATTGCAACCACAGCTCTGATAAAGTACGTCCAAATGTGTACTGTGCACTGTTTTTCTTTCTCTGGCTTTCATCTTTAGGAAGAAGACTGTGGTGAATATGTTGATTTTATTTTTTTTTTGTCAGTTGACGGATCCAAGGTAGCGGAAGGGCCGAAGGAGGAAGGTTTTGCCGGGGAAATGTATTCCTTTATGGAAATTAACTTTCCTTTAATGTGCATTCGGATGCTAGGGGCAGATAAAGTGCCTGATTCAGAGCGACGTTTGTTTCTCCTGCAGGAGGAGACAGAGGTGTTGATTATGCAGAGCTCATCAGATGACGATGAGGGTACTGCGGAGGAAGGCCAGCGCGAAACAGAACCTCGGCAGGTGGGGGGGATGGGGTGGGGGGGCTTTTCATGTTCACAGGCCTCTGAAACTGTTTGAGACGCGCTGCTGGTTTTGACCTCCCCCCTCCCTCAGGATGAAGGCTTTTGCACGCTGATAGATTCGTCTGGAGGACGTTTACAACTCCTGAAGTGTGGAGGGGCGATTGTTCCCAGGTCCTTTTATTTCTGTGGACAGTCTGAAAGCTTTCATATCTCATGCGTAACAACCCCCCCTCCCACGCTACTGCCCCCCCCCCCCCACGGCTGCCGTAGGTAGATACTGGCCCTCAGACTACTTTCCTCTCTTCTGTTCCCTCCCTATGAACTACCTCCGCTCTACAAACACTACAGCAATAGTAATAAACTGAATAAATTGTCTGTTACTGAGGGACGATAGCATTAATCTTCATGGTAGGGAAAAAAAATATTTTTCCTTTATTAAAAAAAAAAAGATTTTTCATTTCATTCTGGACCCAGTTTTCTAGCAGAAATTTTAATTAATCAGCAGTTAGGATGCTTTGCCTGCCTGGCCAATTTTTAAATTGCTTGTATTTTTTATGTCAGCTGTAGTCAAATGTTGTTAGCATATTGATTATGTCGGGGGAGGGAGATTCATTAAGGAGCTGTTCTTCCACAAAGCGTACACATGACTTTTCCCATGGATGACTGAATGAATGATTTTGACTGGCACTCCATCTCAGACGGGACGCTCGTCCGAGACGGTTGCCTGGCCACCTTCGGCCGGCCTGTGCTGAGCAACAGCAATAATTGTAACGTGGCATGTTGACATTTTCGTTTAATAACGTCTGGAAATTTACAAACGCTGTCTACCTCATTTCAAATCTCTTAATATTAGGCCCCAGAGGCCTAGAGGAACACCATTATCTTCCAATCGACGACTGGAACAAAACGCCAAATATTGAAGAGTTTATATCCTATAGTGAATGCTATGTGTGTTTGAAAGAAAAGGACAAGTGACATCTAGAAATTATTATTATTACTGTTGTTGATGTTGTTGTTATTATTGTGGCTGTTGTTATTGTTATTGCTCTGGCCTGTGGCCTGTACTACGAAGCGGGGTTACTGGCTTATTGGGGTAACTTGTCGCGTTTAAGGTACCACAGTTTAAAATGGACTTCATATTCGCTCACTTACATTTTGCCCAGACTACCTTAAATCCGACAAGTTACCCCGATAAGCCAGTAACCCCGCTTCGTAGTACAGGCCACTGTACTACAAAACGGGGTTACTGGCTTATCGGGGTA